CAGTGACCAGAATCACCTTCAGTTTCTCACGTTTCTAACAAACAAAATTTCATGGAAATCTGTGAATTACAGTCGAATATGTAGTGAAGTCTGAATCTTTCAGTGTTGTTATCTAGTGCATCTGACCTCCGCAATATGTTAGATGTATGGCGGCAGCATAGAGAAGCTTAACAACCTCTCTCGCTGATGATTTTCAGGCTTCGCTAATGCTAACGCCACCAGGCAGAAAGTGGAGCTACAGTTAACTAGTGTTGTGTTTTAAGACTCATACAAGCTAATCTGAAACGTAATAGATAGAAAAACTGAATTTATATGCCAACAAGCATCTTTGGGATTAAGTTTACAGAGCAAGAGAATTTCTGCTAAAGCTATGTTATGCATTGTTATGTTATAGATTGTAATCTGTATTGTAGTAATTGCTATAAATAATTGTTGCTATGTCCGGTAACATTTTTGTTTTGACTTTATTGCTGAAAACATCACAGACGCTGTTACCGGAAAACAGCAAACTCCAAACTTCTGTTTTTGTTTGAATCTGTTTTCAGTTTTATTGCTGATTATTACCTACATGAGGAATAGCCTTCAGTCATCAGGGCAGGAAGCGTGTTGTTTGGATTTAAGAGACGATCCACTCTGTCAGATCAATCCCAAGAGGAGAGGAAGAGACCCTGATAGCAGCCATGCTTATGGTCGCTTTTGGATAAAATGGGCACGACGAGAGGAAGTTTGTTTGTTTTTATGTGAATGTATGTTTTGTGTATTTTTCAGTAACTATTAAATAAATAACTATATTTATTGGTTTACTCTATTTTATGTTATTCTAACTTAATTAATTGTTCTGTGTGTGCAGCATGAAGGCACTACAACTTGTGTTGTATAATGACTAAATAAATGACCTGTACATAAGTTGTGTAGCGGTGTTAGCAGTCATGCTAATGAACATCCTGCAGCTGCAGCAACAATCAGTCACATGTTAGTTCATATAAAGAGAAACAGCTGGTTCCTGCTGCAGGATAATCACTTTCTATCTGACTGTAATCCATCAGAGCGCACAGAGAGTTCACTAACACACCTGATCTTTAAAAACTGGAACAAGCGCTCAACTGAGATACACGACCCTGAAACAAGGTTGGACTAGTCAGTTGAATGCCTGTTTTGAGAGTTTAAGGCAGCTGCAAGGTCGTTTTTTAAAGTCTGCTACAGTAGAAATGCTCTATTTAAGTCCTTTTCTATTGTTTCTGCTGTTTAAATCACAGAAATGCAACTGAAGAAATAAAAAAACCCAGTCGCTTTTCTCACTTAAAGAGAAGTGGACAGAATAAAACTCTTTGGTGGAAATTCACCGACGTAGATGATAAAAACAGCAGTTTCAGTCGGAGCAGACATTAGCAGTTAGCTGACGGCAGCTATATTGGCAGTTACGTAAACGCGTATCACATTGTGTTTTCCAGGAAGACACAATGATTGGATGTGACCTTAAAGGTCTGGACTTTAAATCCAAGAGGAGAGTAACAATTATCAATAAACCAGAATAAAAGGAACAATGAAAACATAGTTCTATGTACAAACAAAAGGCTTTTTGTTTTCAACATAAAGAAATTACCACAACAAACACACACCAGGTTATAAATAACAAAAGCAATATTTAGTGTAGGACCTCGATACCTCGGTGCCGATCACCTCCTGCACAGAGTCCAGAGAGAGGAAGTGGAGACGTCCATCTTTTATATGTGGAGGGGGCGGGACCAAGCGACCTGGGAGGAGAACAGGTTTCCCAGATGTTTATGGTCCTTTACCCACTGAAGACTCAGAGTCTCCTGCAGCTGCTCTCTGACCTCCTGTGTTATATGAAAACATTCATTTTGATTTAGTACCATATGGGCCCCGTTTCCTACTCCCAGCCATGGCGAGATGCTCCTCCTGCATACATTACAGACACACAACAGAAACATTTCCTCCTTCATTAGCTCTCGGAGGGGTTGCACTCACAGGATGAAGGTTTCCTCCCAACTAAAGTGTGAGTTTTGTGACATTTGTCAGTGTGATTCTGTGTTTCTGCCCCGTGGGGTCCAACGCCTCCGATTTATTGTTTCGAGAGCGACGACTTAAAGCCGCAGAAGACGATGGAAGAAATGGAAACGCTCATACATTTATTTATTTCATGCATTTTATTCGGTTGGAGCTCAGTGAGGTTGTTTAATATGTGAGCTGTATATGTGTGTGTGTGTGTGTGTGTGTGTGTGTGTGCTGTAATCTGCTGCTTACATCAGACTGTGGGAGGCAAACTAAAACTGCTGCTTTAACTCGCTGGTTACAACCTTTATCATTGATTAAACTGATAATAATACAATAACTGCAGATTATTTCCTGTGAATACTGATCTGGAGTCTGTTGCCCCTGACAAATACATAATAATAATACCTAAAACTAATAAAAACTAAACTGAAACAAACATAAACATTTTGTAATAAACAGCCTGTAAACCAATATGTAATATATGTTCCAGAGTTCTGTAATAAACTTTTATATATTGTGGTGGTTATTTCATTTTTATGATGACAGTGTAATAATATGGTGCAGTATCCGACCCACTGGACGTCTTCATCTGCCACGTATCTGTCTGTATGTTGTATTTAACAATTCAAATATTAAATGAAACTCTATGACCTGTGGTGATCCACATTAAAGCAGCTTGTTATAATCTCACAAATACAAACTAACTCGGGGATTTCCTGTCAGATATGTAAATAATAAATATTTCCAGCTGGACCGACTGCTGCAGTGATCTTTAGACATCCACAGACACACAATTTATAATGCATTCATAAAAAAAAGTGCAACTCCCACATTTTATAATATCCACTCAGACTGAGAATGACGTCAGATTGAGAAATGCCCAAATGTAAACTAGATTAGCAAGAAACAGCACATAATGCATTGCGTCTCTTCTGACTGGTCAATGGTGGACTGTGAGTGTACTGTTTTCATCAGAAAATTCACATTTGAGAATATTTGAATCCAGAAATCAGCTGCGTAGATTCTGAATATCGACAGTTTTATGAAAGTGAATCGAGAAAGTTGTTGAACTATTTCGTAGTTGAGAAGCTGCAGAAGACCCAGCGGGGGAGTTCAAACAGTCAGACAGAGCACTTCAGCCAACAGCAACATTTCTGTATGTTCCCCTATCTCCCACTTTTCTACGTTAGTTTGCCTGAAAATAATCCTGGAGAATATTATATTGAGTGTGAGAGGAAATGTTTTCATTCAGCGTCAGCTCGGACCGTAACGCTGTGTCGGAGCTCGTTGTGATCGATATGGTCATGTGACACAGAGAATACAATAATATAATATAATATAATGTGTGTTAATAAACTGCAGTGTGAACAGTCGCCATTCTTATACCTCCTTCAGTACAGGCTGACGTTAGTATGTGATTTCAAACACAGCCAGTGGAATCTGTTGCCCCAGTGCATGCAACTCTCAACTAATTTCACCTGTCTTTCAAAATAAGAGCGCAGTGTTGTTCATGATAATCAAACTGATTATTTTAGCCTGATAGCAACGTTAGCTTCAGTTAGCTAAACCCCATTTAAAGATCAGGTCCTGAACTTCCTGTTCAGTGAGTTCATATAAAAGAGCCGCTGCTGGTTCTGGATCAGTCTTTCAGAGTAAATGTGGATGAGAGTGAAGATGCAGACATCACAGTTTAATCAGGCACACAGGAACGCCAACTCAAGCATAATCAAAAGCTTATTTCCCCAGACATCACCAGCCCTCATATCCGCTAATTTGTTGTTTTTCATAAACAGCGAGATGAGGAGGAGGAGGACGGACACGAGGACGGACGGACTGATGCTGACAACAGGAGGGATTTGGTTTGTAATCCCAGCGCTGTGTGCGAGGCATCTCCTTCACTTTTCTTTCTCCACTTTGTTCTAATTATCCAGCAGAGAAACAAACTCTCTTCGTCAGCCGGAAATCTAATTGAAGTTTCCTCATGGAAACTGTTTTACAGCCGTTCGGAGCGCCGAGGACGGGCCGCTGATTATTAACAGTCCTTACACCGCCGGCAATATACGGTTCATACTCTTTATTACATTATCCCAAATGTTTCCAACAATGTTCACACTCAGAGAAATCTGTCACTGTACTCAGGTAACGCTGCGTTTCACCGCTCGCCTGTCGATGGCGTCATATCCCCTTTGTGCCTGCGTCAGCGTTGTGGTTGTCTGCCAGAAGCTGTCATACATTGACTGTTGATCCAGTCTGAAGCCACATTGTTACCATCCACTGTTTAGATCTTGGTGCTTTTTAACTCTAGATTTGAACCGGATGAAGGATTTTAGTCATCGGACGTCTGGATCTTAAGTTATCAGAGAAACAAGCTGAGCTAACGTTAGCAGCAGTCTGACTCAAGTGACATCACTTGAGGACATTTCACACAGCTCCCTCTGGAGGCGCTTTATACTTCCTTATACCTGGAAACACCTGGAAACACCTGGAAACAGTCTTTAGTTCAACTTTAAGTAATAAAACATTTCACTGTTTGTTTTACATTTCAGTTTAATCTCCAGCTGTTATTATTATTGGATGTGTTAATGTTTTATTTTATTTGTTTTCAATGATATAATTTAATATTTGTATTATCATTAATAATGTGATATTAATTAATCATTTTGTTTTCCTTGTTTAATGTATTTTATTGATTAAATCATATTTAAAGGAATATAAATCTATGTTGTATTTTTTAAATAAAAATGTATTTTTCCTCTTTTTAAAAGATAATAAAGAAACAAAAGATCAAATAAATTGATGAACAGTGTCTGTTGATCGATCAGTGATTACATCCTGAGGATTTATTGATCCGTTCAGTTGCTTTAAATTAAAAAGGGGGCGGAGCCTGGCGCTGCCTCCCGCCCTCTGATTGGCTGCAGGGGGTCTATTATGCTAATGAGGAGGGCGTGGCCTGCAGCCGGAGACGCTGGACTGCTGAGAGCCGCCTCATTGTGTCGTTTGGACCCGGACTGGACGCACCGTCTCTCTCTCTGTCCGTCGGTGTCTCTCTCTCTCGCGGTGGATTTATACCTGAACGGGGCTCCGCTGCTCCCGGACGAGGATTTTCCTGCCGGTTTCGGTCCCCGTTTATTTGGGAATAACCAGGAGCTGTTGTGGATTAATGTGGACTGTGTGTTCGGATCCCGGTTCTCCTCTTCTTCTGATCCGGAGGATGTGGACTCAGAAAGGTGAGTTTGTTCTTCTTCTGGCGTTTTCCTGCAGGAAGTGTGTGTGTGTGTGTGTGTGTGTGTGTGTGTGTGTGTGTGTGTGTGTGTGTGTGTGTGTGTGTGTGTGTGTGTGTGAGTGCATGTGTGTGCACGCGCATATACGCGGATTTTACGCGTCACGAGATGAAATGTGTTGGTTTTTTGGAGCGCGTGTGTCTGGCAGCTTTGATTGACAGCTGTCAGTCAGCACGTGCAGCAGCAATAAGACGAGTGTGTGTGTGTGTGTGTGTGTGTGTGTGTGTGTGTGTGTGTGTGTGTGTGAGGCTTCATTAACTCCAGTCTCCTTCCTCCGTGCATCCGGATGCTTTAAGTTGAGCTTTCTGCTGACGGACTCAGGATCAGGGTCTGCAGGACTGAGGCTGGCGCTGGTGTGTGTGTGTGTGTGTGTGTGTGTGTGTGTGCGTGTGTGTGCGTGTGTGTGTGTGTTGGGGGGAAGGGGGGGGCTCCTCCTGATAAAACCTCCCATCAGCCCTCCTGCTCACATTTCACTTAAAACATCCAGAATGAGCGCGGAGGAGGAGGATGGAGGGATGAGAGGATGGAGGGATGAGAGGATTCTGGTTCTCGGGGTTCCTGACTAGAAGTTTGTGGGTTTCACACTCAGTTATTGATGAACTAACCCTGATCAGACAGCTGATCACATCCTGATGTGTGACAGTAAACTGTCTGTGGTTGGGGACGCCAGCTTCACTGTAAAAAATAACTCCTAAAAATACAGTCATTCATTAAAATACAGCTTTTAGCTTTAATTTGACATCAAATCTTCTTAATGTTTAATTGAAGATATTTGAACACAATTAAATGACCTTTAAATACAACAAACAGATGGATTAATTAATGGTTAATGATTGCTGCCCTGTGTTGAAAGCAGTAATCAATGAATGAATGAATCGGTCGGTTGAGACAGAAAATAATCAATTTATTTAAAGTTAAAATTCTTTCAAACAACATCACAATCATTTTGCTGCTGTTTTTTAAATGTGTAAAATGTGTGTTTTTGTTGTTGTTTTGTTTGTTTGTGACAGTAAATTGAATATATTTATATTTTTAAAGATGAACTTGTTTGTTTTGTGTGATGTGATTTGGGGGCTCGTCCAAAAGGCATTTTGGTGTGAAATTTTTACATATTTATGTGAAAGTAGACGCCATGTTTTGGGACCCTGGATGAACCACATTGATAATAATTTAACACCAAAAATAAATAAGAACAGGCTGAAAACAATTCCTGGAGGCGTCAGACTTTAAGGATTTAAACCTCAAAACCGTATTTCCTTTGATAAATCTCTTAAAGAAGCGACTAGAAAGTCTAAAGCGTCGATACTGAAGGAGCAGCAGCTCTTCCTTGCTGTGTAAACCCTCGTTGTAAAGTCACACCAGGTCGTCTGGCCTGATAAGACCCTCTGATCGGACTCTCATCGGGGATTTAGGAGTAAATTCTCAGTAAACAAACTGTCTTCGAGTGGCTTTTATTGGCTCCTCATTAACCGACGGTTCGTTTATGGCGCTGTGGAATAAAAGAGAGCGCTTGTGTCTGAAGGTCGACTTTCTGCTGCCGGTTTGTGTTTTCATTATTGAAATAAAGTCAAGTGGAGTCGGCGAAACACAGCCGTCACTTCGGGAGAGGACGCCGTTCCACCAATTAACTGCCAATTATGAGCCAGATATTGAATTATTAATGTCAATATGAATGCTTTTTGGCACAGTGAAGCTGCAGGACTGAGTCAGCAGGCAGAGCTGCCACCGCTGCTGCTGCATGGAGGGTTTTAATTGATCAGAAATATCAGTTTATGCCAGTGTGTTTGTGAACAGTGTGTGAACTGACAGGGTGTAATGGAGGTTAAACTCACAGTTACCACATGGGAAATGGGTTTTACGCTCTCTGTATTATCTGCTTTTAAGGGCCGACATAAATGTTTATGAGCCGAGTTCAGCTGATGGGCAGTTACGTGAGGTTAAATCATAAAATTATAATTCCTGTAGAAAGAAATCTCCTGCAGGCATAAAGGTTGTAAAATGCTCTGATGCACCCAAACGCAGCACTTATTCATATTCAGCTGATATCAGTGTAACATTACACAGAGTTCATTAACACTGGGCTCCACCTTAACGTTTATTTAACACTTTCCAAGGTCAGAAATCTACCTGACCCTGTACAGAGTAGGAATCTCTGAAATATATAACAATGACATAAATTAGTTAAATTCAACCTTCATTTTCAGTGATGAGTAAAAAAAAAAGAAAGACAATAAGAACACAAACATCAACGTTAGTTAAAAACATTCCTAACTGAAGCAACACATTTCTTAAATCAGCCAATGTTATCAGGGAGTCGAAATATAAAGCAAACTGTTCAAAGGACTTTTCTGTCACAAATGACGAAGAAATCCAAGAAATGTTAACACTGAAGCAGCAGATATTTCACATTTTTGCTTGAGAATTAACTTTCAATCGACTAATTGTTGCTGCTCTAATACATTTATTTTCATTTATTTGTCATGTTTAATGTTTATTTGAGTAACTGAATGAGAACAGTGAAAGCAGTGTGTCCCTGTTTCAGCCGCCTTGCTTTCAAACTGTGCAACACATAGTCGGACTTTCTGCCCCCGTCCTGTAACGCCACCCAACTAATCTCCTGTTTTCAGGGTAATTGACTACAATGTTTGGTCAAACTTTTAGAAATCACAGGATTTGGTTGAATTGTTCGTCCTGGAGAGACTGAATACGGAGGGAATGATCAGCTGTCCACATACTTTTGGACATTTTATGTATTTTGCATTGTTTAAATTTCTGTTTTTGGTCCTTACAATCGTACATATAAACCTGAACGTTTGTCTTTTACCTTCATACTTTTAATGTATTATTATTTATTGTTACACATTATCATCCTGCACACACACACTGTAAGGAGCTGTAGCTGTTGGATATGTTACTATAATGTTGTTTTCCCCCACATTGAGGTCAAAGTTCACACATATAAACCAGGATTAACACCAAAACCCCAGTTTTCCCAGCATGCCCCCCTCCTGTCACCCCTCCCAGTCTAGCTCCGTCCTCCATTGTTCTCTCTGACTGACTGAAGGTGTTATGATTTAAAACGTCTCTTTGTGCTGTTTCAACTCGAGCACCTGCCTCACAAATCTGTCACCAGAGCAGCCGGGCGCTCACCGCTGCCGGCCCATTGTGTGCGTTAACCTTGGGGTGCGTTTGGACACAATAACCTGCGAGTCCCCGGTGGGCGGGCGGGCGGGCAGCGGGGAGGAGGAGGAGGAAGCGTAGAGAATAATGTTATTCCAGCGCAGGAAGATTAGCCGCGTCGCTGTGAAAGCCTCCAAACTGCCGCATGTCATCAGCCATTATGTTCTCTGTGCAAATCTGAGCCGCGGGACTCGCCTTTTGTTCTAATCCTCTGTGTGCGTGCCGCTGATGCAGAAGCCAGCAAAGAGCAGTGGGATTGTGTTGACATATGTGTGTGTTTGTGTGATGTAGCTGACTCCTGACTGCAGGAAACATCCCTTTCCTCCTGCCCACTTCCTTTCCTCCTGCCCACTTCCTTTCCTCCTGCCCACTTCCTTTCCTCCTGCTCTTCCTTTCCTCCTGCCCACTTCCTTTCCTCCTCCTCTTCCTTTCTTCCTGCTCACTTCCTTTTCTGTCTGCGAGCAGGAAGGTAACAAGGAGGGAAGGAAGGAAGGGAAGAAGGTGTCAGTCAGTAAATCAACACGCAGTCACATGTTCAGTATAAAGAGTTCATCCTCTGTAACCACTGAGTCACACTGATGAAGGTTTATCATTTTAATTTACTGTTTCAAATAGATAAATAATCAATCCTGGTGAAATTCACTAACAAACTGGACATAAATAAGGTAAAAAAAAGGATTAGTTCCTGCCTCACTGGTGCGTCCGTTATTACAAACTCTTTATTTTAAACTCTAGTTTTATCTGTAGTTTTACAGTAGTTTGTCCTTCAGCTCCAATAACGAGCTGTTCACCTGAATTAAAGGCGCCTCATAATCCCGTCACACTATCAGACGTCAGATAATCTGAGACGAGGTGAAGCCAGGTTTAAATGTTTGTTCACAGTTTTTCTTCCCACCACGATGTCGATCACAGATTTACTAATGCGGAAAGACGCATTAAACATACTTTATATAATGGAAGTTTTATGTAAAAAGGAAACACAACCACTGTAATAAAAGAGAGAACGGACCATGTGTAAGTAGAGAGAGTGAGGCGGAGGTCACATGACCTTCTCCTGTGTTGTATCGTGATTCTGGGCTGTGAACTGTGGGATACGTGTAAGGTAAACGACAGCGCAGGCGTGTACCAGGTCCCGTTACCGGAGCACTGAACGATGTGAATGTGTGAGCAGATCCCGGATCAGTAACAGGTGTTTATAAGACGCCTCCGAGGTGGTCTGATGATCCGGCGCTCTGGCTTCAGTCCGCTGCTGAGAATCAGGCGTGGAGGCCAAACCGCCGCCATAATCGGCCTGAAAATACGACTGCTGTCCTGAGGCCTGAGCTTTACTGCCAGACCTCCCCTCCTCCCCGCTGCCTTCCCCCCTGCCTCCCCACCATCATATCAGACTGTAATTGTATTTGACAGATAAAGTGCCGGTATTATAGAATTGTCTCTGTGCCTCAGGTGCTGTCTTTGTGAAGCTGTCTGCTTTTTGCTTTTGTTCTGAGCTTAATGACGCATTTTTCTCCCTGAAATCTGGTGCTGACCGCGGTGAGAGCGGGTGAGAGTGGGTGAGAGAGGGTGAGAGGTTCTGTCGTCACTTCCTTCCTCACTGGAGCGAGGCAGTGGAGCTGATAACCAGGAACTGGGAGCAAACTGGAGTGGTTTAATTGATCCGGTTTCATGAGAAATACTCGCCACATGGCGGCGTGCAACCAACAGATTTCTACAAAAATGGAAGGTTCAACAAGTAAATGTAATGATTCCCAGATATTGAACAACTG